CTGTTCAGCCGTTCTATACACTCCTGCACTAGCAGCGATTTGACCTCAAAAGCCGAGATCGCTTTAAGTGCCGCCTGACTATCGCTGAGTATGGCGATGCTCTTATTGCGGTAGTCGCGTTGGAGATTTATTTCTACACACCGACTTATAGCATATACCTCCGCCTGGAATATGCTAGGAAAACTTCCCATGGGAATGGAGAGCTTGGTGCGTGGTCCTGCGACCCCTGCGCCAATCCCCTCCGCCATTTTCGAGCCGTCGGTGTACCACTTGATAGTACTGTTCTTTAGTAGTAAGTCCAGCGTGGAATCGTTCCAGTGGCATTGCGTCACTTACGGCCTTCATCTGCTGGGACGAGATTACCTTCCCTTTGCCAGACCCTTCTGCTGAAATTTGAAGCAAGGTCTGTTTGGCCGTCTGCTCGATCACTATATGTAGCGGTGTTAGCTCCAGCATTACTTCCAGTGCTGCAGTCGGACACGTACGCATCGCGCCCGACGCGCAGATACAGGCAAGTCGTTGCAGCCTCGATAGTCGAAGTCCTACCGAGGTCTGCCCTGCTTTGGAACCCCAGGCCACCGCTCCATAAGTTATGATCGGTCTAACAATCATGGTATACAGCCATCTGATAATCTTTGGGTTGCAGCCCCATGATTTCCCAGCAAATCGATTGCATACCATGAGCGCTTTCGTAGCTTTGGCTGCGGTTAGGTCCACATGCTGATTCCACCGTAGAGCGGAGTCCAGCGTGAGGCCCAGGTACTTTACCGTGCTGGCCATCTCCAGCTCCGTTCCACCTAGGGATAGGTTTCTGAGGCCTGGCAGCACCCTACGTCTGGTAAACGGTATGATTGTAGTTTTGGAGGGGTTGATGTTTAGGCCAACCCCACTACACCATTCCTTTGCCAGCCTTAATCCCCAACAATGTCGCAGAGGGTGTCTGCGAATTTACCCCTAGCTAATATAACAATGTCATCCGCATATCCCTGACAGCGGATTCCGTTGCTCGTTAGCAGCTCGAGAAGATCGTCTACAACTAGGCTCCAAAGTAAGGGGGATAGCACTCCACCCTGTGGGCAGCCTCTTGTTGTGCCAAGGCGAATCTTCGTGTCGCCTACTGTGGTTTCGGCAATCCTGGTGCTCAGTACTGCTTCAATCCATCTGCGCACCGGCATCGCCACACCCCTTTTCTCCAGGGCCTTTGACACGCTCTCGTGTGACGTATTGTCAAAGGCACCTTCGATGTCAAGGAAGGCGCATAACAGCACCTCACCCCCGTCAAACGAACTTCGGATCTCTGATGTCAGCTGATACAGAGCAGTGTTGGTTGATCTGCCTGCTCTGTAAGCATGCTGCGTCGCGTGTAGCGGTGCAGCTTTCAGCACCTTCGATCTAATTTCGTGGTCTATGATCTTTTCCATGCTTTTCAGTAGGAAGGAAGTTAGACTTATTGGTCTGAAGGATTTTGCCAACGAGTAGTCTTTCCTTCCTACTTTGGGTATGAAGATCACCTTTGCAGTGCGCCAGGGTTCCGGGATATACGCCAGCGCCAGGCTATCCCTCATCAGCCGAACAAGGTGGGGCAGGAGGACCTGCCCCCCCTGTTGCATGAAGGCTGGAAGGATGCCATCCGCACCCGGAGACTTATATTTTTCGAAAGAGGCCACAGCCCACCTAATGGAGTCCGCCGTGAAGAGCTGTTTTGCGGCTGTCCAATCTAGGCGAGTTGGCTTTCGTTCGACTCCTGGTCGAATTAGGTCCTCTCGAATTGTTTCCGGGAAGTGCGCACGTAGAAGGGTCGTGGCTCTTTCTTCCGCGCTGGACGTATAGGTCCCATCCGGTCTTTTAATTGCTATAACTGTGCCGGTCTTGCCCCTAGCCAGAGCCTTATGCAGCCTTGCAGCCTCTGGCGTTGAGGAGACACTTTCACAGAAATTTCTGAAGCTCTTCTGTTTTGCTGACCTGATCTCCTTGTTGTAAGCAGTTAGGCCGCACCTATAGTTCTCCCAGTTCCCGGTACGCTTAGCCCTGTTAAATAGCTTGCGTACCGTTTTTCTTAGGTCCGAGAGCCTTCTTGACGACCAGGGACAGCTGAGGTTCTTGGTGGTCGTCTTTAGGGGGCAGCTACTGTTGTATGCTTCTATAATGGACTGATTTAGCGCAGACAATCTGCTCTCCAGTCCAGAAGCAGTGGCACTGCCGTCAAGCTGCCCCCTCCTATTGAGGTTTATTTCAAGCGTATCCTTGAAGGTGGCCCAGTCCGTGTTTTTGGGGATACGCCTGGGAGGGGGTTGCCTAACCTCTACCCCTAGTGCGAACCTTATGATGCGGTGATCCGACATGGAGGGTTCCGATGACACTCTCCACTGCCCGATCAGCCCTGTCATGAGCTCGTTACCAAGGGTGATGTCAAGCACCTCCCTTCTTACGCTGGTTATAAAGGTGGGTTCGCACCCCACGTTTACAATACTTAGATTACTACCTACTATAAATTCAAGTAAAGACTCACCCCGTGCATTGCAGTCCGTGCTGCCCCATTCGGTGTGATGGGCGTTGGCATCACATCCCATGACAAGGGGCAGGTTGTTCCTCCTGCAGTATTCCACGAGGCTCCCGACGGCCTCTGGGGGTGCTGTCATCGTGTCTCCCGGAAAGTAGGCCGCTGCCAGGACGAAGTCCGCTCCTTCGTTACCTTTTGCCTGCACAGCGACCAGGTCTTGTGTTAGGAACTCTGAAATACAGAAGTAATCAATATCGTTCCTAATTACTATACAGGTTCTGGGTCTCTCGCTTGAGAGATCCCAGATTACCTTGCTATTCACCATTTTGAGGCCCCTGACCTCTCCCTTGTAGATCTATGGCTCCTGGATCAGTAGAATGCCCAGACCGTCCGCTGTGAACCTGCTCGCAATGACGGCCGAGGCCGACGCCGCGTGATGCAGGTTCACCTGGGCAATTTCAATATGTGGGCCCATTAGAGGATCGGTTCCGTGAGGAGCTCCTCATCTTCACCGTCCTCCGCGTTTCCACCCGCTAGGTCCCTGAGTCCCTCGAGAAGCTCTTGCGTGGCGGGTAGCACCCCCCCCTTGTTCGTCAGCCTTCTCCGTAGGGACCTTCACCGTGGTTTCGGCAGTTGCCGCCTGCGCCGCCGTGCTGATGCCGGGATGACCATGCGCGACCATGCAGTCTACTAATCCAAAAATAGTCCGGTTTCATATCCAGTCAAGGAATGTCTTCTCAATATTTTTTGCCACTGAATATTGTTATTTATCGTCGTTGAAATCATATATATGAAATCCCAATAAATTGGATCAAAATAATTGTTGTAAGCACGACAAAGGTTTGCCGTTTAATCGAAAATATTGCTAACAGAGAAATTCTAAGGACATATGTTATGTTAAGGTGATAAAATAGTTTGTAAGACACATCGAAATTGGAAATTCTTTAGATTCATTACCCATCCAATTGGCACTTCGGGTATTCCCAATTTTTTGGCATGGCATGGGCTCCTTTTATAGAAAAGTTATAATAAATATACAATATTTGCGGGATAGAAAAGCGGTAAAACGCCTGCAGTTTTAAAACTATATTTTTTTGTTAATATGTTTTGTATAATTGTATTTCGTTGTTCAACAATGTATGAATGAGAAAAGTAAAAATAAATATTTATAAATGTACATACCCATATACATGCTTACGAATGCGCGCTATATAAGGTAAAATACTTCAGAATTATATTGTATACAACAGTCATATACATACATATGTATGTATCAATAATTATAACTGTATTATTAATAATATTCGAATACGAAAGTCACGAAACAATATTTCGTTACAGTTTAAGTTCGACTGCCTACTTCATATAAATAATGCATATATACATATATAAATATATACATAATTACACCAAGATGTATGTACATACATAAAAATGCAAAGTTCTCTTTGAGAACTTGCGCTTAACGCGTACATAAATAAGGGGGGGGGGCTTCTACAGAAGGGGATTGATTGTTTTGAAAACTGTTGTTTGAAGCGTGAACTTGGCGACTCATGAGATCTCGATTCCGAATGCATTTATATTCGGAGCTTAGCTTTTTCTCGCGCTCAAGCACGATCGCTCTGTCGATAGCAGTGGCGCGAATACTCCAAATTCATACTCGTATTAACAATTGACAGCTTGTTCATATAAAAAAATGTAAAGTTACATGCATGCACCCTCTTTTGGGTTACAAATTTTGCCAGCAAATGTTTGTACACAGTCACATATACATATGTACGAGTATGTACGTATAAATGTGTTGTGCATGCAAAACTTTGTAAATATTGGAATAAGTACAGGTATCTTTGGTAATTATTTTTGTTTGTATCTTCTCTGTGTTTTTTGCAATATTCGTGCGCGTGCATATACGACGACATACCGGCTGCTCGCAGTACACCGTCAGTCAGCAGATAACAAACAAGACAGTCGAACGTTCGCAGCCGAGTGGATACGGAACAATTTGTGGTTTAAATCAGTTTTATGGATTTGCTTTGTGCTTTTTTGTTCAATCATGTATTTTCGGATTTGAACTTTACGCAGTGAAAAAAGCAAGTATTGCATCTGAATAAATGCAGTAATTTGTGGATTTTTTGTTTTTGTAATATACTAACTAACAGCAGGCGAACGCGCGCTGCTTATAGCGTTATAGCATTCAGTGCAAAACTACGCTATTAAAGCACGCTCTAAGCTGCTGTTAGCAGGAGAAACAAACCAAATCACACGCAACACAAGTCAAAGCGCGGCGAACGACCTACGGCATTAAGGTCAACTGGTCGCCAAGTGTACAGAGTCAGTGTCAGTCTATTTGTCATTTTGCAAAATTTCATTCTATTGCAACTTTTTAATTGTGTTTTCAAGTACTACCAAAAATTTACCATATACCATACATACATACTTATGTATATATATATAATTTTTTATGTATATATTTGATTTGCGTTTTTCTTTATCTTTACAGGTAGAAGTTGTCATCTCGTTCCATTAAATTAGCATTCTATTCAAATATTTATTGTTATCAATATTTGTCTGTTGAATTTGTTGTTGTCGTTGTTGTTTGCAAAAATAACACACAACTCACAAGCAAACACCCACACTGCACTTGAACTGACACCCTAGCGGCACACCATGCAACGCAAACTGTTGCTCTATGCGCTGCTCTTCTTGGCGGTGACGTCACAAAAATGTCATGTAGTGGAAAGTGGCGGCCCGCCCAGCGATACCATGGGCACAATAGCCGCCAATCGCTATAATGCCGAGCAGCAGCAGCATCAACACCAACAGCATCATCTGCACACAGCGGCACATCATCAAGGCGGTACTGGTGGTGGCGGCGGCGGTGGCAGTAACAGCGTTGTGCCGGCGCCCGCAGCGCCAACAGCCGCCCCACACGCTTTATACCATCCATCGCCATCGGGAAGTGGCCACATGGAGCATCGCAATTCATATAATCTGTTAAGCGAAGCAATGTCGCAGGCTGTCAGCAATGAATTCAGTAAGTACATAAAAACATATGTATTGTATGTACATGCATATGCAAATGTAAATGTCGGAAGTGAATGACGAATTTGTTGATCGGCTTGATCTTATTTACTAAGAAACACAATCTTTTTGCATACACACTCACACATGAGTGCATGTGCTGTACTTAGTAACTAATGCAAAAGTGAAAAAAGAAATTTGTGAATGCAACTCTGTACGTATTTAAATGTTTTTTTATTTATGATTTTGTTTTAATTTCCTCTTAAAGTTATTTTTAAAACGGCAACATGCCTTCACAAAGTGCTTCAAATTTTGACAGGACTATATTTTATTACTTACATCGATTAATTATTTCCCAGAAAAACATTATAAACATGATAATCCAGTGAATGTGACGTAATGCTCACAAAAATTATTTCGTTAAAGATTAATTACATGCATTTGTAAAAACAAGAAGAAAAAAGAAAAAGTAAATTCAATAATATCTTGCCTTGATTCATGAAACTGATTTAAATATAAATATAACCTTTAAGGTGCGAAATGCATAAGCCAAACGGTTTTACCGAGAAATTGCTGCGATTGACGCAACAGTTTAGTTCTTTTAATTTTTGTTTTGAGTTGCGCCCTTTTCTTACTGCCTGGTTTTCTGACATGCCAGCTGTGCGTGATATATAAGAATCTTCCCCGATCAAATGGCATGCTAAAATGGGACTGTAACCTTCGAAAAAATTTTTGCTTGCTATAAATTTGATATAAAGATAATGCAGTCTCGGACTTTCGTATCAAATATGAAAACTACTGGGAATAAAAGTGGAAGTGACATCCGGCATAAAAAAATTAAAGATAAAGTGTTAGAAAAAACTCGTTAGAAGCAATTTATGGATGTTCAAAGCTACTCTTTTGAAAAGTGCGAATGAATTTTAATGAAATGTGTCCCAACCTCTTTTTGCAAAAACACTTATAAAAAAAATCTGACTTCAATAAAAGCATAAACAAATGTTCACACCCATCGCACAATGCATCATTTATTTGAGATAACACGCTTTACTGTCAATTAGTTACCAAATTACGTTTCGATAAAAATAGCAATCATTAAGAGTAATAAAAATATATAATTTTGATAACCGTTGAGGCTAGGCTTTTTTTTATATTAAAGGCGTGGTTGCAATAAGTTTTTTTTTGTTGTTGTTATTGTAGCGGCAGAATTTTGCAGAGTTGACAGTCCTTGGCCGGAATAAACCCGAGTCCGTTCGGGTTACGTAGACCCGACTGTCGTGGGAACGGTTTTTTTGTTGTTATCAGTGCACGCTGGTCGGGTGACAAACGAGGAATGTAGACAAAAAGGACATTATTATAATATAAATTTTTTTTTGGTTTGTTAAAAAGCTGCTATATAAAAATATATTCACTTTTGAAACAAAGAACCTACTTTCTATTACCGTTAGTTTGCGCAAAAACACATCGACTACTGTTAATTAGCGCTGCTACACACCCATACGCACCCCTACAACCATAAATTTCACCAATGGAAATTAATTCTGCTTAACCACAGGTGACTCCCGCACTTCTCTTATTTGCTTATCTGGAACAATTTAAATTAACCAAATTCTTATTTACGATTTGCTTACGCACTTGTCGACAAATAAAAGGAGCAAGCAAATACAAAAAATAATAATAATACACATATGCACGAAATATCACAATGAAGCGATTTATTTTTTATTATTTGCTTAAGATGCGCGCAAGAATGTAAAATTCCAACAGTGTCTTGTGTTTTCTGCCAACTGGCTGCCAAATGGCACTATCTCAATTATTTGCCTTCGCCAGGCTTTGATACAATAAATATTTATCTCTCTGCATTTAATTATTATTATGTATGTATTAACACACGCACACGTGTGATTGGTTTTAATTATGTATATGTGTGTGTGTGTTTGCAAGTTATTGGTCTTGTGTAAAAATATCCCAGTTGGAATGAACATGTCACACTATAATTGTATTAATATTTTTCCTTTTTTGTATTTTTATCCACACAAAATAACACAGGTTCACTGGGCAGTGGTTCAGCGGATGGTGCTTGTCATGCAGACGATTTGGATTGTTATAGTGGAAATGTGCAAGATCGTTTGGGTATGGAGGCTATACGTACGCTGCATCGCCAGCTCGATGATGACGACAATGGCAATATCGATTTGAGCGAATCGGACGACGTAAGTAAAAAAACAAAAAAGAAAAAAGCAGAAAAAAGTCTTTTATTATTACACTATGGTTAGTGGTAATAAGTTCTGTAACTAATTGACTTAACTTCTGTGCTGTATTGTACTCATAACAATGACGTTGGTTTTTTTAGTTTTTACGCGAAGAACTCAAATATGACTCCGGCTATGAGAAACGTCAGAAAGCGTTCCATTTTAACGATGACATGCACATTTCGGTGAAGGAGCTGTGGGAGGCGTGGCTACGTTCGGAGGTTGGCTATTCGTTTAGCGAAAAGTTATTTTACAATAATTCTAATTATACTGTTACTATTTTGTATATTTTTCAGGTGCATAACTGGACCATGGAGCAAACTTCAGACTGGTTGGCACAATCAGTGCAATTACCACAATATGTCGAACTATTTCGTTTGCATAAAGTGACCGGTGCTACATTGCCAAGGTAAGGCATTTGAATTTTGTTTACGAGTTTTTAAGTACATATGTTAGAAGCAAAAAAAATATAAACAAAATTGCACTCAAAGAAAATATACTAAAATTTGTAGCTAATAAAAATAAAAATGCCCAATTTGCACACACTTACATAGCTAAAGCTTTTGACAATAAAAAATCAAAATCAAAAAATCTGTCTGCCTCCAAAAAGCGATTCACGACCTGGTTAAATTTTCTTGGTGTACTCAGTTTTTTTCCAGTACTTCAAAACTATTGTTTGGACAGTTTATTTAATAAAAAAATAATAATAATAATAAAAATATATACATTGCTCATTTTCCCACAATATTGCTATGCATATCAAGTAAAGGCAGGGAGATTACATTATTAATAAAAAAAATTATATATATGTAAGTACGTACATATGTATATGCATACATATAACAACATATTCATATTGTTTGAACGTAGAAAAAATTCGTTAGCAACAGCTCAGTTGAATTAATTATATATTAACATAAATATATATATAAATAATAGATTTTATGAGACGACTTTTTATGTTGGAAATATTCTGGGAGGTTTGCCATTGCCTACTTAAGATGGAAAGTAATCGCAGGGGCCAAAAAAACTACTTTTTCGAGATTTATTTTTGAAAATTGATGAAAAATATTTTTTTTCTTTTTATCCATTGTCTATATAGAGTAGTTTTGTATGCCTTTAAATTAAAAGCCGCATAAAGAAATTGGTTTACTACTTTTTCCACAATGTCTTACTCCAATTTGGAAAATGTAGCTTAGGGAAAACGAGGTTTAAAGTTCGTTGTTTAAGGTCGGCCGGCTCGGCGCCAACCACTTTCAAGTGGTTCCACAATTTTTAAGATCTGCTTTTTAAATTTTGCAATAGTTTTCTTAGAGCATACACCTATTGATTAAGACAATCAATTAAAATAAAATCGATTTTTTTTAATGTTTTCTGGTACTTCCCGATTAAGGGCGGTTGTCATTAAAAATACTCTTTCTTTAGTTTGAAATTTTGCTCGATCTGGAGAAACAATCATCTCTGTAGTAGTCACGCACACAACCCACTCGCCTACTGCTTTAAAAAATAATTTATTTTGATTAATAATCTTGCGTTATCGGGCATTAAACAATAAAACTTGACTGCTCAACATAAAATTTTACTGAATTACATTTTATCTTACGAAATTGTTATAAATTTGCGATAGTTGGTACTATTATGACGTGTCAGAAAAAATCTAACACATTCGTACTTTATTACAAATTCAATTGAATTTGGCCCGCAGCATAAAACGAGATTACGATTCTAATAATCTTAATATTTTTTGAATACATATGTTTCTCTGTTTATATAAATGCTATTTATATGTTAAAATATGCTGATTAGAAGTCCTCAGTTTTTATAAAGCGTTTATCAGCAAAAAGATGACATAATTTATAGTGGAGATTTTTGTTGTTTTTAGAAATTTAAATGAGTCAACAGTTTTTATTGAGTATAACTTCTTTGATTTGAGTATATTGACTATGTCTTTGTCTTCTTTTTCTTTTTTGAATTGTATTAATACATAATATACATACGTATTTTAAATCTGCGCAACTACGAAACTCCATTAAATTATTACATATTTGAAAATAATTGTCATGTTTACTATCGGCGCGTGACAACGCCAAGTAAATTTTGCGCTTATCTGTTTCATAATCAACTGAAATCGCTAATAAAGGTTTGCGCTTAATTTGATCTACCGGAAAATTTTTTGAGGCTAATTTGAGACGATTTCATATTTCTATTGTTAACTTTAACGTGTCATAGAATAATTTAATGTATTTTACAAAAATACACACACCTAGTGTGATAATCTAAAAAAGGATATAGGGAAAATTTTAATATTTTTGGGGTTATACGCGATCTTCGACCGCGCTAAAACAGGTCCTCCACTGCAGCAGCGAGTATGACTATTTCCGTGAATGAGACCTAAAACAAATTCTCTACTCGAAGATATTGTACGTACATATTTTACCCAACAATTTGGTAATTTTGGGCCTGCCAAAATTCGATTTTTCATCAGATTAAAAAACTAGCAGGCCATTGTATGTACAACTAATATAAAAAATAGTGTCATAAAACATTCTCAAATATATTTCAAAAGTTGACAGTGCTTGTCTGTATTAAAGTTCATGACTGTCATAGAAACGAATACGAAATGTGATATGATAGCTTTTAAAAATATCCATTTATAAACTTGTGTTTTTAAAACCCAAAATAGTTCAATATATTTTTTTAAATATCATTACTAAACTTTTTTTTAACGAAAGAAAATAAGACTACGGAAATGTTTCAATAAAACTCATTTGAAGGTGTATGCTTCAACATTTTAAATATTATAAGCATACAAACATATGCAAATGTTATAGATTTTTAGTTAGAAATGTGTAAGTCTTTTTTTTCAATCCCCTTTTATTCTAGCTCTTAATATAAAAAATAAGATTTTGATTTCTTACTCCAATTTTTGAATTAAAAAATATTTTATCAATTTCTAGTTCTGATTTCGATCTAAAAAATTAAACTTTTAATTCCGATTTTCTGAGTTTTAGTTCTGATTTTTAGATTAAAAATTAAATTTTCAATTATCAATCAATATTTTTATCGAAACGTAAAATTGGAATATATTTTCTTTCAGTATTCTAAATGTTTTTTATAAGGTTTCCGGATTCATAAATAATAAGTGTTAACATTTAACAACTGTCAAGCTATCAACTGCTATGTAAATTAGTTTTTCAGACTTTTCAGTGCTTGCCATTATGATAATAATAATTAATTATCTAATAAAAAAAAAAATTATTTGCGCCATACGATTACTTAATAACTTTAAAATTAAAACAATAAAAGTCATTATTTAGAAAACGTTATGGCCCCTAGAACTATAAAATAATGTTAGAAAATATATAGAGTGTAGATTATAACTTTTTTCCAACTTTCAAATTAAATGTGTATACTCAGAAAAATAAAAAAATATTAAATTACTTAAAACCAGCCACTCAATAGGGGAGTGATTGTTGGGTGTTCTACAATTGAAACGCCACAAATATAACGGCAATAATAAAAGGCACCAAATTGGCGTAGAATAATAAAGGTAAGCAACGATGAGGCAATGATTTTTCACTAATAACAATAAAAAAGCGGCAATTATATAGCGGTGAGACTTTTTTGTAAGCTACGCTTTTGTATTTTGTGTACGTACATATGTATGTACAACTTTTTGACAATGGAGTAGTAGTATTAGTTGGAACATGCAATTAAACCAACAACAACCGAGGCATGCACAGTGAAAAAGTAGGCGACCATTTAATAGGTTATTGTGCGAAACCAAATAGATTTTTATTTACAAATACATATATACAAACCGTCATATGTGCATATGTATTTACGAATGTGTAAGTGGATAGCATGCTGAATCATTGGAATTATTTTTGTGTGAAGTTAATAAACTTACAGTTAACGTTTTTGCAGTTTATGTAGAATTATTTGCAAAGCGGCAGTGAGAGAAAAACAACAAAAACGGAAAATAAAAACAAAAATAGAAAATTAAAAAAGCTTTACTATTCGTTGGTTTGGCCTTCAAATATTGCTCATCTCACTTAAAAAAAATAATAATTCATCTATAAACTTCTCGCAATTTAGTGTATTCAAACATGCTGAACGTTTCGTTGCTTTCACTTTGTTTACAGATTGGCAGTAAATAATATGCATTATGTGGGCAATGTGCTGGGCATAAAGGATCCCATTCATAAGCAGAAAATTGCGCTCAAGGCGATGGACGTTGTGCTTTTCGGACCGCCGCGTGGTATGCCTTTACTTTGAAACATTTTTGTATCAATAACATTAACAATTTATTTATTTAACTTGTACGCCTTTGCAGAGACCGGCACACGCTGGAAAGACTACATTTTAGTAACGCTATTACTCAGTGCAATTATAGGTTGTTGGTATGCATATCAACAGAATAAGAATGCTAAAAGACATTTACGACGTATGGCTCAAGATATGGAGGGACTACAGCGCGCCGAGCAGAGTTTACAAGAGATGCAAAAGGTGGGTAATATATTGACGTTCATAGGCATGTAAAGTGAATCGATATTTCGATTATCGTTTAAATCTCAATATTAGAGGATTAAGTTTAACTGTTTCTTCTCACAACTTTTCACCAAAATTTTGTATTTTTCTTAGTCAATAAGCCTTAATATCAGCAAAATTTTTTTTTAAAACCCTTATTTTTATACTCTCGCAACATGTTGCTAGAGAGTATAATAGTTTTGTTAACCACAACCGTTAGGTTTGTATCACCTAAAACTAATCAAGTTAGATATAGGATTATATATTTATAAATGATCAGGATGAAGAGACGAGTTGAAACCCAAGTGACTGTCTGTCCGTCCGTCCGTCTGTGCAAGCTGTAACTTGAGTAAAAATTGAGATATCTTTATGAAACTTGGTACACATATTTCATGGTATCACATGTTTCTTGGTTGGTATTGCAGATGGGCATAATCGGACCACTGCCACGCCCAAAAAACGCCATTAATCAAAAACAAATAAATTACCATAACTAGGCTCCATAATAAGATACAAGACTGTTATTTGGTATACAGGATCACATTAGGGAGGGGCATCTGCAGTTAAATTTTTTTTTAAATGATGACGTGATTCCGCCTCCTTATAGGTTTAATGTGCATATCTCCTAAACCGCTAAAGCTATAATTATTTTTTAATTATAATATAATAATACTCAGATCGAGGGTACCCCGGTACCCAATTGCTAAAAGACGTCGGTAAAGTTGGTTACTAACATAAGGGTTAACCGATTTCAACCAAATTCGGTACATAACATGCTTCTCATATTATATTTCTATGCTAATCAAGCAACAATGATTGTATCGGGCTAAAACTTTGGGTGAATAATGCGTTTAACGTATGCCACTTTGTGACCAAAAATTGTCTAAATCGAACTAGAACTGTTCAAGCTCTAGGTACTGAATATGTGGACCCCAGTGCCTATAGTTGACTTTTTACCGAAAATGTCAATGTGTAAAATATATAATTGAAATTCATATAATAAAATAAATAAATGAAACTCTCGATAATAGTATGCTTTTGTGTCAAAAATTGGTTGAATCGGATCGATACTTCCTTTAATATAAAATTTTGCCAACACCTGAAGTTATTTCCCGATCTTTGATCCTTGCAAGTTGCGAGAGTATAAAATGTTCGGTTACACCCGAACTGAGAACTTCCTTACTTGTTATATTAAAGTTAGTAATTCCATAGTAGTTGGTGCATACAATTAGGCACATTCATATATTGTATAATATGGGTAACTTGCCAATATTTGATCGAAATTGTATAACCAATGTGTTAATACATTAATTATTATATTTACTTAATAGCAAACCTTGTTACCAGACTGGTGATGTTTTGCAATAATTAATTTTTCAAAAGCTACATTAATCAGATAGATGTGAGCTATCAAAGACAATGTTATTAAAAACACCTATTCATAATCGATTACCAATTATTTCAGTTGTGTAAATGTCAATCTAACCGATAGTTTTATTAAATAATTAATTTTTAAATCTTATTTATCAATTAATTTCTTATACATTTATCTTGAAAAATCGAATACTTTGATAAAAATCTCTGAAACTGTGCTGTTTTCCTCTCTCTCTACAGGAATTGGAACGTGCGAGAATGGAGCAGGAAAATGTTGCTACTGAAAAAATGGATTTGGAACGTCGACTTAAAGAGGCTCCCACACTTTCATCATCCAGCTCTGATCTGGAGGTACAAAAGTTGAAAAAAGAAATCGAAATATTGCGTACTGAACTTTCACGCGCTGAAATCGAATTGGTGGATAACTGCTGGACACCGCCACCACAATTACAATCCTGGCTGCAATACACTTACGAATTGGAAAGCAAGAATCATTTGAAGAAACGTGTTTCCGCCGAAAAGCAATTGCAATCAGCGCGGGAAGCATGTGAGAAATTGCGTAAGAAACGTTCAAGCTTAGTTGGTGCATTCGTCTCGACGCATGGCAAAAGTATTGACGATGTCGATCGCTCTATTGTGGAGGCGCGAAATTCGCTCAGTGAGGTGACAAACGAGTTGCAAGAGCGTCTGCATCGTTGGAAACAAATTGAGAATTGTCTGGGCTTTAATATTGTCAACAATAATGGTTTACAGTATCTGGAGAATGTATTATACAATCGTAATGGCGGCAGCAGTGTTAGCTCCAATAAGGGTTCACGAGGTAATTTAGAGCAAATCGTATACGAGCACATTATAAATTGCTTTTGAAATCATTTTTTATTATAATCAATGATATTTTAGGCCGCATAACGAGCAGCAGCGATGATTTAGACGATGAATCTGTGCAAGGTAAGCCCAATTTTGACCACTTCAATTTGTTCTCGACTGAATGATGCAGCTGATGAGGCGTGGCACTTCATCACACAAACAAACAATAAAGAAACGTGTATATAGCTCAAAAGTAAATCAAACGAAGGCTACATACATGAATAATTTCAAAAAATTGAATTGGGAGTGCAATATCTAAAACACATACGCATACAGTCCATATGTACATTAGTGGAGTTTTCACACGAGCGCTATAGAGTAAACAAATATAATATACACATTAAGCAATATATGAGCGCCATTAGATTTGCCACATTAACTTAATCTCAAAGCATAGCGGCAAGCGTGTTTCATAACGTAAACTAGCGAACAATTTTGCATATAAAGTATATGCATATATATATACATATTTGAGATATTTTCTCATTAGCTTGTACTTTTTGGTTAAATTGTTTTGAACATAAAATGCCTCATTTAATTATTTAAGCGTAAAAAGCAGTAATTTGGTGCTAGATAAATGAGAGAAAGAATAGCGCTAGTATAGGTTAGTGCTAATGAAGAGAGTAATGCTTTAAGAAAAAAGTTATTTAATATTAAGCATAGTAGTTAGCTGCTCAATTTTATGGAAAAGTTAGCAGCTGCAATGACAATATACCATATACAATCAAAAGTAAAAATAATAATAAATAAGCAGCTATTGAGTTAAAGTTAGAGTTTATATGTAACTTAGGAATATATATATATATATTTTTTTTTTTAGGCGCACTATTTTAAATAAATAGTTGTTTGATATAAAGGTTTATTTAAAGAATGTATTCTAGCAGCTTTTAACGCATTTATTATATAAAGCAAAAGGAAAGAGTGTGTAAATTTTTCAAATAAAAAATTAGTTATATTAGAATAATTGTTTGACAGAAATTACTTCAAATTTAACACTGTTCTTTCGAGATTTAAAACTTTAATTACCAAAAAATATTTTTTTTTAGTATTATTTCTAATTTTTAATTTTTTTTAATTAATTATATTGTAATTTTTGTTACTATTTTTGCAATAATTAGTTGCAGTTTAGGTGTTCCCTGTTCCACGTTTTTAGTTTGAGCATATTTTCAAGTTTGTCGCCTCAATTTTTATGGTATATTGTATATCGAGTATAAATCATACATTTTTTTGCATTTCGTTATATGTAACTCTAATTTTTCGTTACTATTTACATAATTAGCAAATGGTAATTTGAGAACCCAAACAAAAAACTCACAAATATTCATCGTTCATCTACGATGACCAAATGAACTTATACATAATTTAAAATATTCGATTTGGACATGAAAGAATATATGAAGAAAAGCAAAACAAAAAATATTTTAAAATTTTGACAGACAGAGACTAAATGTTTCTGTATTATATGGTAGTATCAATGAGCGGAGGTTGAAATTTTTTTCTTATTTACTAAAACCTGAAAAAAGCTGTTTAAAAATTTTGTTATAGCTTTTTTTTTAAGCTGGTATCCAAAAATGGGCAATAAATGTTTTTGAAGTACATTCATGTTTATTCGTTTATTGCATATTATTTTCAAGACGACTAAACATATAAAAAACAATTGAGATCTATCGCATACATACATATATGTATGACGTTATGGCTTATATATATGTATAAGTACATTTTATTTTAATTTCTGGCAAACAATAATTTGAGTCACATTTCTTTGTAGCTCTTATAGTAGTACTTTAAAAAATTTCGAAAATTTAAATATTTGAACAGTTATGTTTTTCATTTATTGTCTTCCAAGATATTTCATATCAAAATCGGTTGTAAGTTGTCAATAACCCATTCATGATTTATACCACACAGTGGGAACGCTTGTACTTATGTATATAGGTACATATGCATGTATGTATTAAAATAATTTCAGAAACAACGTACAAACGTTGTCGTTTTTGCATGCCCAAACAGGTGTCAAATGTATAAAATTATTATAAATAAAACTGGTCTGGAGTATACAAAAATAATTCAAAATTTAATAGGAAAGGGAAACTCGTGTGCACATATAAACAAAATTATGCATATTACAATTTGTGGTAATTCAAAATTTTTAGAATTATTTACACACACGTGCCTTGCGCATACTCATCGCTAGTGGTGTAGATTTATAGATATTTATGTCTAGGTAGTTTTTCTTTATAAATTGCTGGGCTGCTATTTTAGGCGCTGAATAAAAGTGTTCGGAAAAGTATAACGAAAAATAGTCATAATTTTATACACTTGTCGTAAATTGAACAAGCCAAACTAGTGCCACGCCAAATGAATTAAAATTGAACGTAAACGAAATTGTAAACAAAATCAAAGAATATTCAATATTTCGAAACGTTAAAGTACTATTAAGCTTTTGAGTTGTGCTTAACACTTGCCAAACGATTTTTTTTGTTATTGCTAAAGCAGCTATAAACAATAAGCAATAATCAGCTGAAAATTATACACGTATAAGCAATGAAATTTTTAATTGCACACAACGATGACGCACTTAAAGTCAAGTAGCCTCGTTTACCACACGCAAAATTTTTTACGAATATTAAAAAAAAAATTTACGAATATTAAAAAAGTGCAGTGTAAAAGGAAAGAAATACTTATTGGCGCAAATACTTAATATACTCAATAGCTGTTAATGCATTTACACACGGCAGACTATACACATACACACATAAATATTTGCAGCGTAATACTTTTTTTAAGTTTTACATATTTTTCAATAAAATTTTCTGAATGATTTTTAGACATTTTATATGCAATTGTGAAATAAGTAAATTATAAACAAACACATTGAATTGTTATCTACCAATTGTTTATGTTAAAAGAAAGCTACATAATTTACCTATATTGTTTTTCCCCACAAAATTAGAGTTAATAATATTTTTCCTGTGTTTTTACTTCTCTTTAAACAATTTTACGCATTCTACTTATAAGCTTAATTTTAAAAGTATATTGTTACTATTTATATATAGCATTTATTTTTTAGTTGAATTTTCGATATATATTTAATTTGTTTTTAGTTTTTTATTTTATGTTATTTAATGTTAACAACGAATGTGCTTAATCCCTTCCGGTGTTGTAAGTTTCGTCAATGTTAATTTTTAATTTATTTGCCTGTTTATTTAACTCCATGAAGTTATATACATACATATACCTATATAATATAGAGTTAAACTTGATCCCCCTTTTTACTTAGCTGTTCCTTCTTAATATTGATTAGTATGTAAAATTCGTTAATATTTCATGCGGCAATTACTTCTCAGTCTCAGTGTTTGCATTGATATTCGGCTCAACAAATGTAATCGATCATCGCAATGGAAAAGGCCCACGACAGCATTTATATCATACATATGTATGCCAATACACATACATCGACATACTTACATATAATATATGAAACGCACAGGCAGTGGTTGGCAATGAATTGCAAAAAAAAATATATATAAAAATAATAGTAATTTGAAAATATTGATTCTAATTATTATTTTTTTGTCACGCCTTGAAGTTCTCGTTGACCTTTTACCGCCAACGACTGCACATGCGTACCATATACGCGCATTCTCCATGCATATAGACACATGCTCTCGTTTCTTATGCAGTACATTCGTGAAATTGCCTGAGTCATGACCAACACAAACTCTCAGTGGCAAGAGACAAAGCCAATTTTTCGATCATCTCGGTGTGAAAAAAAAAGAAAAAAATATATACGTATCGTATCGTATTTCATTTTTAGAGTGTTTAGTTTTTGGTCGATTTGTGGAAATCGTGTTAAAATACATACAACAATTACCGAAACTTTTCGACTTTCGGAAGCATAATTGTCCGTTGGCGCTTATATTCACCACACTGAAACGTCCAAATCACCGGAATGGATTAACATCTAATCAGTTGTAATTATAGCGAGAGCGATGAAGTTTTCTTGCAGTACATATGTAAATACATATGTCATAGATTTACATATATACAGACATACATGCCTATACCTATTAGCCACGTTTAGTGTGTCTTCGAATTGTGAATGCAATCCCGTATTCTCTAGCGAAAATTGTAGTAAACGAATTTTTTCAGAGAACCAATGCATCAAATGCAATAGATGTTTTTTTTTAATAATTATTAATTTAAAAAGTGAGTTGTTAATATAATTTGATTATTTTTAAATTATAATAAATTTTTTAAATAATCTGAATTTGTTTCATTTCACCGCTACACATGCCATTCAAATTTTACTTGTATTTTTCCTAAAAATTTCAGAAAATATAAAAAAAACTAATTTTGATCGTAAAATAATTAAAACTTGAATTTATTAAAGTTATAAGAAGTCTAAAATAATATATTATATAACTATCTTAAATTACATGAAAACAATAACAACAAAATTTGAAGAAATTGCGGTTAAGCAAAAGACATTAAAGAACGTTTTTCAATTTGTTTAAGAAAGCACTTTAGATTTAGAGTTCCATTTTTTGATTTTCTAATGATTGTTGCAATTTTTGTATATTAAAAGAAAAAAATATATGTATTTTTAATAACAAAGTTTAAATACTATGATTGAGTTGATTAAAAAAATTAAATATTTAAAGAATTGAAAAAATCGAATAAATGTAAAAATGGTTAAAACTGAAGAAAAATAACTTGAAATCAAATATTATTAATTTCACATTAATTTAAAAACTTAATAATAATTAATAAGGAGTTTTAAAAAAATCGAATAAAAAAAAACAAGAATTAAAAATAATAGTTGAAACATACAAACAACGAACTATTTAATAATATAAATTTGACAGATCTAAAAAACTAGTTAAAATTAAAATGAACCTGATTAAAAATAAAAGAAAACCACGAATTGACAAAAATAAGAAAATAAATTTATAAATTAAAAATCAACATAAAATTTAAATATTTTAAAAATAAATAATCGCACTCAAATAAAAATTGTTGTTTTAACAATTTAAAAAAAAAATCTAGAAAAAGAATTGTGTAAAAAACTATTTTTCTGGTATTTAAAGAAACTAATATAAATTTAAAACATATATTGAAATTAATTAAAATTATATTGAAAATAATTAAAACTTCCATTCGTATAAAAATTTGAAACAACAAACAAAATAAATAAAATATATTAAATTTTTGTTTCAAATCAATTAAAAGATTATAAAAAAATGGTATAAAAGCTATTTGCCTAGTGATAAAAAACCATAAATTAAAAAAATGTATATAAATAAATAAATAAAAACTGTACATTTAACAATCGGCATAAAATATTCATTCATTGATTCAAAAAAAATTGGAAATTAAAAAAAAATCTAAAAAAGTGTTGTTTTACATAAATTGACAAAGTAGAAGCTATTTGTATAAAAAAAAACTAAATTGGACTGAAAAAATATATTTTTAAATTTAAAATTTGTTTAATATATGGTTACAATCAATATTCCGAAAAAAATATCATGTGTGAAGATTTCAGGTAAGCTCACTTCCTGAAAAGTCTCTAAACTCTAACTTCAGACTTAAATTGATTCCAAGCTTTATATTTAATAATAATATTGTCCTTGTCCGCCTGTGTTGCCTGCATGAGAATGTGTTGGCATGAATACTCGTTTATATCTTACTCAGCGCAATTTCATAAGTATTGTGCAACATATATTCGATACGTAACTAACAGCATACATATGTAAAAATATCAAAGTAAATAATTTTTCAGAAAAAAAAGCGCCATTACATTTAATTACATTACACTACATTAACAAAGGCAATTGTATCCCTAACGGAATGGAACAAAACGCACTGTGTGCTAAAAAATAACACAAAACGACCGTATTCTAACAAATATCACCAAATATACCTTTATATAAGCACATTTGTTAAACAATTCATTTCTTTGGAAATAAGTGAAGTTCAAGTGCTTCATTTAAACTCAACCCATAAGCTCGCTACATACAAGTATCTACAAACATACATATATGGTATTTCTATTTATAAATACATTTGCATTTTTAAATACACCTTTATATCTAAAAACAGAAAAATTGTGTGCTTTACATACGCACATATATATATATATATATATATATATCTATGTACAAGTACATAGATGCCTGTGTGAGTCGCCCATTTTTTGCTTTCATTTGCATCATTCATTTATTGCTTAAAGAACCAACCATCAACAACCATGATTTGACAAGCGCTTGTACCATATATAGATTGTGATGATCGTTAGTTCCAGAATTTCTGTACATTTATCCAGGTATGTTGGACAGCTATAGTCGCAGTTCGGTGGGTTTAAGCGGTGGCAACAGCGGCATCCTAAATAATAACTCCAATGCGCTATGTGATGATTCGTCGGGTAGTGAGGACGCCAGTGAGGGTCCTCCGCATGCGCCGGTACAATTTATATTAGGTGGTGCGCCCACACCCTCGTTGAAGGGCGCCACTTCAACAGCAGCCGCCACAACAGGTGTCGTTTCACGCGCTGGTGCTGCTGTCAACCACTCGTCACTAGATGTGAATTCGTCGAATCATATTGGCAGTTTGGGAAACTCAACGAACGCTATTGGAACATCCGGTGTGACGAGTGTAATCGCGCCAAATGCAACCCCACCACCCTTACCGCCGCACAATAATGCTTACAATTCGAGTTACTTTTTGAATGATAGGTAAATTTCTTTACGTTTTATCGCCGATCTAGTAACTAGCATTGGCCTATCATTATGTTTTACTAACATACATGCGTACATGTGTACATATTTATGTAAGAAACCAATAATTAAATGTGTTTAAACGTAATGCGGGTATCACCATTAAAGAAGAATTAAAGAAAGAGGTACTAGGTTAGATCAATCTCGGAATAGGCATACTCTCGATACGAAAATGCCAAAAATCTTAATATCGTCACAGAAAAGCGACATTTTCAACATTTACGAGACATCTTCAAGATTTAACGTACAATTAGCACAGCAGGTCTACGTTATGGAAACAGACACAGATTTTTACTGTAATATTGATGATATAAAGAGTGTTTTTAGAGGCATAGGATTTCTTACAGGCTTAGCTGTTAAACCAGTTGTCAAAATAATTATATGCGTTAACTTTAGTACACCGGATCAACTGAAAATCGTTAAAATTTATATGCAAAGCTCTCGTTGCAGAAAATTTCCTCTAGGTATATTGGAACTTCCTCATGTCAATACCAATGGTCTAATCAAAGACGGTAGAATCCAAAGAAGAAGAAGCCAAAACTATTAGTCAAGGAAAGGCCCTTTTCATGGCTTTTAGGTCATGTAATCTCACTCCGTTAGACTACATTTGTCAAGTCAATGATCTATGCTGGTAATTCTGCGCGTTATTGAAGAATTAAGATCGTCTATGCTGCAAAAGAGATGAAAGGCCTTCGTAACACTCAGAAATAATACTTAAAATGCCATAATTGTTTTCAAATTAATAAAATCAAAAAATTTGCAATTTCATCGATTTTTCTGTGTTTTATTTGCAATAAAAGCACCTCCTCTAAACGATAATTGGGTGAAATTGATGAATATTCTTATTAAATTCCAAAATATTTCTCTACGTTATGGTCAAGCAAACGTAAACGATTCCTACTTTTGTTTAATAAACTATTATAGTAAATAATGTTTTACACATGAGCATTTAACAACCAAATTATGACATACAGCTCATGTACACAGTGAATAATTGAGCATTGCAACTCGTCGATTATTATCTAAGAAGTCCATTTAGCTACATATTGAAGTTGTTTGACATTACCCTACATTGAAGTGTTCATCATGTTAAAATTTTTTAGCTACATCTCTTTCTTCGTCATTCAAAAAAGCATGTAATAGAGTTAGGAACATTCCCTGAACATACAGTTTTGTTGATTAAAACAAAGAATAAAAAGGGATATGAACATGTGGAACACCTAGGTTACGAGAGTATTCTATCGTAGGATGTTTCTTTATAAATATTATACAACCCTGAACTTACCACATCCGTTGTAAACAAAGTTGCTATATTAGTTTTTCTGTAATATAATTGGAATAAAAATGTTTATGAAAATAACGGGTAAATCGGATAGTATACCTTCGCTAGTCTTTCATGTTGCGCTCTGTATTTATGGCTTCTGATTTAATTTGTAATATATTCTATATAAAGTTTTTATCTGTATTATTAGTTTTTTATATACATTGCTAGTATATCATTTCATATATTGTATATATTTATTTTTTATACACTTGCTTTTGTTGCTACATAGTATAATAGTTTTGTTCACCTAACGGCTGTTTGTAACACCAAAAACTAATCGATATTGATATAGAGTTATGTATATATAAATGATCCGGATGATGAGATGAGTTAAACTCCGGATGTCTGTCTGTATGTCCATAAAAATTGATTTCGTCATGAAACTTTGTACATGTTTCGTGGCAAAACAGGAAGGTTCGAGCTCGTAGATGGGCGTATTCGGACCACTGCTACGCCCACAAAACGTCATTAATCGAAAAGTTATAAATTGCCTTTACTAAGCCGCAAATTAAGATATAAAATATTTAAATTCCATCTGATTCTTTCACTTTCCAGTGTACACATCAGGAACCAATCAATATATCCGTATAAAACTTTGCACACATAAAATTTTGCCAACACCTGTAGGTATTTTTCCTCCTTTGATCCTAGCAAGTTGCAAGAGTATAAAATGTTCGGTTACACCCGCACTTAGCCCTTCTTTACTCGTTTAATATGAAGTTTTCTTAAGGTATTTTCTCTCCTTTGATCCTTACAAGTTGAAAGAGTATAAAATGTTCAGTTACACCCGAACTTAGTCCTTCCTTACTTGTTCATTATTCATATCGATTTTATAAAGATTTTATTTGTTTTTAGTTTTTGTAAAGTTCTAACTTTCTTTACCTTGTGCTTGTTCATGATATGCTGTATAAAACATCGCAAAACTATAATTTTTCAGAAATTTAATCATTTGTCATTGTGATCGCTTATTTATATTATAATATTTGTTAACTTTTTAAATACGTTAATTTTTCGTATGAAAAAATTTCATAAAAATCATAATCACAACCAGTATGAGTATGCAGGTTATTATATACACTCAAGGTCTAAATTGATTCGTACTGTTCGTGTGAAATTTGAACTCTATATGTCAATTACCAGTCCGAGTCAAATTTGAGCTTTAGTGTATTTCTCAATTATTATATCACTTTCATTTATATGATATCTTACACCGTATATATATATATGTATTATGTCTTCGTCTCAGTCTCACTGGTATTGATGACAGTCGTCATAGTCCGTCTTCATCAGAAATCTCGATTACGGTACCGCCACGTTTGAAGAAGCACAATTCGTCTAATTTAATGGTGACTCCACCAACAGCGGTGACAACAACAATTACACCACCAACCCCAGTACCGCCACCACCGCCGCCACCGCCATTGCCACCACATCTTGCAGCGGTCGGTACAGTAAATCGTGCACCGCTTCCACCACCTCGCAAGTCTGCACAGAGGTTTGTTGCGTTGCTTCTTTATTGACCAAGTTCAATGGAAAATAGCCAAATTTCAAACCATTTACCAATAAAATGCGCTTTAAGAGCACCTACCACCAAACCGAAGCCAATAAGCCCCGCCAAATGCACTTCCTCTTTAAAATGTAATCAGCACTTGATTGTTACTCTTGCGCTTTGCTATTAAACGCTTAATTATCTAACTAATTTCGTTGGCAATTATCAATGTGCAACACCTTCTGTCCTCTTAACAGTTTAATACGACTCGGTTCAATTCATGCAGTTGCGTCCCTTTCTCCAGCTTCGCATAATCTTTATACATACATATATGCAAGCGTATATAAAAAATGTAAATCCAAAGCCTCAAATTACAGACTCACTATCTACCGTTTTCTTGTTAACCTTAATTCTTTTCTTTGGTTTTACAATTTCAGAATACATAAAACAAAATATTCTACATGAACTTCGGTGTTCTAGTAGTTTTAATTCTTCACTGAAAAACCCCCAAAAAAATATTAATTTATGTTTAAATTCCATTCTAAAAATGTTAATAACAATTTTGTGAATTGTAACGACTTTTTATCAATAATGTAAAGATCTAAACATTTTAGTAATGTCATTTGAACATCTGTTACTCGCATCAAGACACTCATGCATACATATTTACACACTCTTACATCAATTAACATGTTTTCGAAGTAACTTAAGCCTAGGCAATGAATACTACGATATTAATATATTATTAAGACAGGTTTACTTAAAGGGCCAGAAATTAGAAAAGTGAGAAATTAAGAGAGAAGTTTAAGTACTTAATACAATATAAACTTACTTTAATTATGAAAGTACTTTGTATCATGTCCGTCTGTATGTACGTGAACTAGTCCCTCAGTTTTTGAGATATCGATCTGAAAATTTTGGCCGCTTTTTCGGTTTTAACCCAACTGTATTTTGGTTGAAGTTCTGAAATTCGGTATTATAGTTTTCAACTTAACCCGTCAAAAAAGGTTTCGGTTAAAGTGTTGTCAAATTTCAACTCTTTTTGTATTACGCCTTTCAACTCTATGCCAGTGGGGTTGACTAGAGTATGAAAAACTTAAACATTAATGAACTTGTTTAGGATTTGTTTATTGTTCACCTTTGCGTGAGCAATAACTAAAATAAGTTGTTTTGATTAAAAATCATTTAAAAATGTTTAGCTGTTGAATTATCTGTCAAATCTTAATATTTTAGGTCAACACCAATCAAACTTCTGAAGTTGAATTGCTTAAACTTCAACTTAACCGAGTGAAGTTGACAACTGTAATAGGGGTACTTGTACTTGTACCACTATAGCATACAGCTGTCATACATACTGAACGATCGAAATCACGTGCTTGTATGGAAAAATTTTTCGTTTGACTAGATAGCTTCACGAATTTGGCATGGGTTATAAAAATTATCCAAGACAACGGACAATTGTTCAGATTGAATCACTATAGCATAAGCTGTCATATAAACTGACCGATAAAATTCAAGTTCTTGTAAGGAATTTTTTGTATGCTTCTTACAAAATTTATCAGGCTTTGGCATAACATTGAAGTGGGACACAGGTAGAGAGCAGGGCGACTACTAGTACTTGAGAAAATCGAACCTACCACTTCTCTCTGGTGAGAGGTTCTACCGACCTTATTACCAGACCTCTTAGGGGTATTACCCACATGAATTAACTACTAACTATGTAGTATTTTTATTCACAAAAAAGTTCTTAAACTTGATAAGCTTCAGTAACCCACAGAAAGTAGCTTTACCTTAATTACAAAAACCTTAGTTTATAAACATTATTAGAAAGTTATTAATTAATGGTTCCACATTGTTTAGCTAACCGACAGCAATAGTAAGTATGCTGAGGAGTATCGCCTACAGGCAATCAATTCAAAGGATAATTTTCAAAAGTAAAATACCCTAAGTTAATTTCTGATCAAATTGGAGACTTCATTCTCTTCGAAACTTTCTAAATTTGAACTTAGAAACGATCCGCCTCATTGAACTACTTCAAGTTCCATAGTCCAGAAAAAAATTAAGGATCCTATGGAAGCATTGGTAGACCAAAATTGTTCATTACATATATTGTATTAAACGATTTAGAGAAAAGAGTAAAGAACAAAAATATATATTAACTCACCCCGTAGCTGATTATACAAATGTTTCCCGTTTTTAACCACAAGAAATGAGTTTTTTTAGAGAAACCTATTTACCACTAGATTTAGATTGATCAACTTTGACTTCAAAAATTTCTATTATATTGGCCTCAGGTTAGATATTTACGTTAGACCTAAGATAAGTAGTAATATAAGTAACATTTAGGTTATTTTTTTATTTTTGAATATAAAACGATTAGTTAAAAAGTTTGTTTTAACCATTTTATAAGTTGTTTTATAGCTTATATGTAATAAAAAATATATTTTGAATTAACAGATTTTTTTAATGAAGAACTACATTATGAGAAGAATATTTAATAATATAGTTTTAAAAGAAAACCAATTGAAGTATTCTCAACCCCTTACAAAATCTTATCAAACCTTGTAAAAAATGTCGAACCCTTCAAAATAAGAACTTTCATAGAAATTTATTGTTAAATAGGGATTAAATACGATTTTTTTGTGAGAACTTTTATAATAACCAATAACGGATTAAGCTAAGATTTTATTAAATAAAAGAAAAATAATATTTTTTGATTATTCTACTAGTCAAACATAATATTTTCTGCTTCATAACTTTAAGTAAGGTTTTAGGAATATTATATAACTCATTTTATAATCTAATATAATATATTTATTGGTACATAAATATATTACTTAACCAATTTTTATACTCTCGCAACTTGTTTCTACAGAGTATAATAGTTTTTATATCTGGGATCGTATGAGATGACTTTATAGGAACCGCGTTCAAAATTAGTCAGTTTGCGTGGCACCGGTAGGTATCTTGGGATATGATTAACCGATTTCAACCAAATTCGGTGCATAACGTTTTTTTCATAATCATTCAATGATTCATATCGGGGTAAAACTTTGCGTGAATAATACATTTAAAGTATGCTACCTTGTGACCAAAAATTGTCTAAATCGAACCAAAACTGTTCAAGCCCCTAGGTTCTGAATGTGTGGACCCCAGTGCCTATAGTTGACCTTCTACCGAAAATATCAGTCAATCCACAAAGAAATCTCAAACGAGTATACCATTTGACTTTGCGGGAGCATAAAATGTTCGGTTACATCCGAACTTAGCCCTTCCTTACTTGTTTTCCCTAATTATTATTAGTAATTTAAGGTAAGTTTATTGTAAGTAATCTGAATATTAAAATAATAATTTTTTTTTGCATATATAATATAATATATCGAATATACATATATTGTAGTGTAGTAGTTAGTGTAATCGGCTCGCAAAACTTTTAACGGTTTTTTTTCGAAATCCTGTTTTCACAATCGGTGAAGAAAATTTCCACGAAACGGATTCATTCGAAAATTTTTCATACGACCTGCCAGTTATATTGATCAGATAATGATCGAGGGAATGCAATTTTGTATAATAATTTTGATTATTTAAGCCACTCTAAAATGTAAATTTTTTCACAAAAACGATTTTTTTTTAAATCCGACATTTTGTCAAATTTGATTTGAGAAAATTTTAAGCAGAAAAATCTGTTTCATCACCAGACACCTTTTTTCGGAGGTCCTTCTGGAGATCGGGATCAAGGGAATCCAATTTTTTTTATAATCAATCGCTCAATATTAAAGTACATTGAATTTTGTTTATGTATTAAATGAAAAAGTCTTCAAAACAGTTCTGCATCAATAGAATATGCAAGCTCGTAATGTAAATATTTTTCTTTTATAGTTAAAAAAAACCGCTCTCCTTTAAAAATAATAATTATTTTCTGACTATTTAAGCTGTGAAATGCTTAGAACAATTTTTAATATCATTAAAGTTTAAAAAGTAGACTTAAGTTAAGCTTGTAGCTATCTTCATTACATAAATATATTTAATATCACGAAACGCTCTTTTTATTAAGACATTCGCTCAATCAAACCACATTAAATGCATACATACAAATATTCATACATATCTACATATATTTAACAAGTATTAGACAAGTATATGGTATCCTTCTATGTATTTCTGTGTGTCTTCGCCATTGCGTGTCACTAACCTCCGACTCACTCACCTACTCACTCACTGCCCTAAACACAGCTTAAACATTAGACTCATCAAAAAAAGTTCAATCGATTTGTATTTCTCCTTCTCATTCACCAAACAGCCAACTTTTGCGATCCCAAAGCACGGATCTGGTACCAATGGAAATCTACACGTTCCTTAATAGACATCAGCAACAGCATAACACGAAACCCAACAATAATGGCAGCAACAGCAACAACCACAACAGCCTATCCACGGGACAACAATTCATTGGCACCGGAAGTGGAATTGGTGGAAAACTTAGCGGAACCAACAAGAAGATGGTCAAGCAGCACAGCACAACTAGCCAACAGTCCACATCATCCACATCATCGTCCGTCCATTCAACACCATCCGCACCCGGTGCACTCGGCGCAGACGCATACAGTGGCAGTGGCAAAGGACAATCCCCTGGACGTTGGTCATCACATGAGCGCATCTTGCCAATCCATCAACAACAGCAACAACAGCAGCAGCACGAACCTCAAATGCTTATTTGGCAGTCAATGCAGTCTGTGCAGCACAAACAGCCAAACGCCGCTCACGGACAACAACAGCACCAGCAATCAGCGCAGCACGCTGGAGATAAAGAGTTGTTCATGCAGCCCCATTACACAGCAATTGCTGGAAAGCCGCCCACTGTCGGCGCAATACCCGCACAATACCAGCAATTACCCACCTCGCTTAGCCTGCAATCGCTGTGCGGGGGGCAGACACCACAGCATGGGAATGACAATATCAGCCTCGGCACCGCCATCGGCGCCGCCACCGCCACCACCACATCTGCGGCAACTGCTGCGTCGGCATACAGTGATACCCAAATGGAGGACCAACTGTTGCTCAGTGCCGACAGCGCCAGTCTCGATGGCGGCGCCACCATTAAGAAGCGAAAACGGCGTCTACGATTCCCCTTCGGTGGCGGACACCGCAAATCCGCCAGCAATGCTAGCGCTAGCAGCGGCAGCACCGTCAGCGTCAGCGTCAGCTCAAACAAACATACATAGCTCGCATAGCGTTGGCTGTCTGACAGCCTCCTACAGCGGTACCGCCGCAAATGTGGAGGATGCGTTGACGATGCAGAAGGGACAAGAACAACAGCAGCAGCAAGGCAACGATGACGACCGAATGTACGATGTTATGGACAATGATGATTTTTTCAAAGAAAACTTATATAAACGTAATAGTAGCCACAAAACTGGCGATGCGCATGCCGACTCAGAGGCGGAGGCATACTCTCAGGTTACTTTGAATTTTGCTAAACGCGCCGCGCACGCCGCAACGACTGCGCGTCAATTGAACGATCATGACAATAATAATTTTAGTGATACCCAACGCGACTTAAGGAGCACGCCTACAAGTGGCTTCACGATAACGGCCACCTAATACTGTGGTCGAACGAAATACTTATATTTTTTAAAACACAAATATTGCAGTCTTCCAAAAGATGTGCGTGCGAGTACTTAATTTTACATAGTTGTGCATACGAACGTATACTAATTGGAGAAGGCAACATAAATACATTGCATGCAAACACACTCACACAGACACAGACATAGAACATAGTCACCCTGATCTCCGAAAGCATGAACAACTCCTAGAAATGTGCTCCGAAGTCATGCTATGCCACATCAATTCAGTGCTTCCTCGCATTGCAAATAGTTTACAATCTAAAGCAGTTTAGTTTGCAAAACAATAATTTGTGTTACGCTTGCGCAAAACGCTAAGTGAAAATAAATTAAATATTTTGTACCAAAACACATAGTTAATATTTTTGGTGAGATCTGCAGACCAAGGCGGTACTTCAGCGTACATATATTGGCATAATTATAGACATAAAGAAAATTTGTTTTATAAAAATTCAAATTGTAGTTTTTTAACTTGCTCCAAAATATTGACGTTGAAGTGCTATTTGGTACGCAGCTCTATGGCATCCATACAATAACAAAATTATTTCTTAAAAAAATGAAAAACCAATTAAATTTACTTTATAAATAAAAATTTACGAAAGTTTCATTTGCAAAGCATTTCAAATATACATTTTTCGTAATGAAGCAGCCAATAATTTGAGTGCTTCCCAAAGCAAATGCGAAGACAACACTAGTAGCCAAATAAAGTTACAAAAATTTTTTGTTGCAAATACTGTTATGAAAACCGATTTTTTTTTGTGCAAATAATAAGAAAGTTAGTTCAATATTTGTAATGGAACGTGCAGAATGTAAATAGTAAACATCAACTTGAGACATTTTGTTTTGGTTCCATCCATACTAGACGTACTTGTATTGTATTACGGTAATTGTAATCTTTCTCGAATTTGTAACACGAGTGACGACACACTCTCGTATTTTATAGAAATTGTTCCAAAAGTGCCTCAGCGAAATCACGATATTTACATCGTAATTAGTAAATAAGTTGTGAGATTTATTTTATGTTTTTTGTAAATAAGTTATTGGTAAAATTTTTATTTCTTTAAATTTTGTAATGCGAAAATATGCAAAAACAACACACAGATTTTTAAAATTTTATAAGATCTATAATGGTCTGTAATTTTTAATCAAAATAAATTCAAAAAGGCATGAAATAAAAATTGCAAAAAAATTGAAAAATTACGATGCCACTCTTTAGAAAAATAAACTTAGACTCAAACTTAACTTTTTTAACCTGCATAATTTTTAAAAAATTTAAACCAAAACCTCTGTGTAGTTTTGTGAATTATTTGCACGCAACTGGTCGCCTAAAAGCACAGTTAGACCAGTATAGAACTGAAAATCTCGCCATTAGAAGCAAAAAAGACAACTTGAAAAAAAAATGAACTCTTTAAATTTTCATAATCATCTCTGTGTAATGTTTTTGGTCTATTAAATTTGTATTGGAATCATTTTTTATTTAATATAAACACTTATAATTTGCACCTTAAATCATTGGACTGATATTTCCTTGGCTATGAAACGTATTAAATGCGATGATAATATTGTATTACTTTTAAAAATGCATAAATGATTTTTAAGTATGTTTATATTATACCATACATGATGCTGTGTATGAACTTACAGACAAACGTTACGTCGAATACTTACTTAATTTGGTATTAATTGCAGACATTACCTAAATAAATAATATATAATATTAGTATATTATGTATCTACCTAAATGATAGCAATATTTATAGCATAATAGCGTTATACATACTTAATACATACATACAATTATCCATGCGGATAAAGATTTTAGCAATATTAGTACTAATTTGTAAACGAAAATTTTAAAAAATATACATACAAGTAAAAATGTATGTGTGTGTGAGAAGAGAAACAAATTTATGTCACACACCAAACACTAAGCACTATACCTAGCCACAAAACGAATGAAAACTTAAAATAAAAACAATAATGTATTAAATTATATTTGTAATATAGAGCAAAATTCGCCACAATTAAGCAACAACGATAGACGCAAGAAACCTTTTCAGCCAAATTGCTGAGAAAATTATACCATTATATACCTTTTAATAAAAATTACCTAAAAACAGTAAACTTTTAATAACTTTAAATTTTGCGGAGTGTTTCTTGGGGCTGGAAAACAGGTAGTGGAACTCTAGGAGCCAACAGAACTCACATATACTTACAGTTGCATGCAAAAACGTTCGGATGGTCGCAATTTCTGCGCTTTAAGTGCTTTAACATTTTAACTGTTAGCTCAAACGTTACCAAGTTTGAGGTGTTAGTTCTTTATTTAATGTATAACAAAATTATAATACTCATAAAATTTCAGTAACTGAAACTAAAGAACAGCCCTTCCAAATCTAAAACAAAGTTCAGTACTGCTTTGCTCTGAATATAAAATAAATGTGCTTTACATTTGATTTGATTCCGTAAAACATATGTATAAATGGACACTTAATTGTGTGGAATTCGTACTTTTAAACGAGCAAGTACTTCGTGCGGATTTGCTGTCATTATACACCGAACAAGGTATGTTAAATTTGCCACAATGTTTGTAACACCAAAAAAGAAATATCGGAGGCCCTATAAAATATATAATATTTATATCGCCACTGTAAGTACATTAATTATATTACGTAATTATGGCGAATCCACAGTTGTTACTAAATGGCATCAGTATTGAAGTATACAGGGTGTGGTATAACTTTTACGAGCGAGATAAAGCCCCCTCTCCTGTCACTTCGAATTGAGAGCGGAAATCACCTACCCGACATTGAAAGTTGACGTTGAGTTGACGTGTTTGACGTTTAGAAACTAAAAAGACTGGAATCGCCAATTTCTGCCAAAAAGATATGGGAACGAAGTCGTGAAAGATCAGTTATAAAAATGTAAAACAATAAAAAAAGGAAACACGAAATTGAAATGTATTTGAAGAAATGTTTTGTGGTCTGCTGCTTCGAATAAATGAAAAAAACCTTTATTAATTGACAGTCAACAAATTTAATACACTTTATTTATTATTGAACGCTTAGAAACTGGTTGTTATACTCTCGCAACTTGTTGCTACTGAGGATAATAGTTTTGTTCACCTAACGGTTGTTTGTATCACTTAAATCTAATCGAGTTCGATGTAGGGTTATATATATTATATATGTAAATGATCAGGATGCAGAGACGAGTTGATATCCGGGGACTGTGTGTCCGTCCGTCCGTCTGTGCAAGCTGTAACTTGAGTAAAAATTGAGATATCTTTATGAAACTTGGAACACATATTTCCTGGAACCGTAAGACATTTGGTATTGCAGATGGGCGTAATCGGACCACTGCCACGACCATAAAACGCCATTAATCGAAAACGTGTAAAGTGTCATAAGTAAGCTCCACAATGAAATACAAGACTGTTATTTGATATACAGGATCACATTAGGGAGGGGCATCCGCAGTTTAAAATTTTTTAAAAGTCGGCGTGGTCCCGCCCCCTAATAAGTTTTTAATAACAAAATTCACTGATAACAAATGCTTTTGGCACCTCTATCGACAGTGTGAAAATAGTTGAAATCGGGTGACAACCCCACCCACTCACCATATAACGGTACTGTTAAAAAATACTAAAAGTGTGATAAACCAAGCACTAAACACGCCAGAGACAATAAATTTTATATCTGGGATGGTATGAGATGACTTTATAGGAACCGCGTTCAAAATTAATCATTGGGCGTGGCACCGCCCACTTTTAGGTGAAACCCATATCTTGGGATCTGCTTAACCGATTTCAACCAAATTCGGTATACAACATTATTTTCATATTTCTATATTATAGTGCGAAAATGGAAATTGGGAAATCGGACTACAACCACGCCTATTTCCCATATAACACCATTTTCAATTCCATCTGATTCTTTCACTTTCCACTATGCAAATCAAGCAAGAATGATTATATCGGGGTAAAACTTTGCGTGAATAATACGTTTAAAGTATGCCACCCTGTGACCAAAAATTGTCTAAATCAAACCAAAACTGTTCAAGCCCCTAAGTACTGAATATGTGGACCCCAGTGCCCATAGTTGACCTTCTACCGAAAATATCGGTCAATCCACAAAGAAATCTCAAACGAGTATACCATTTGCTTTGCGAGAGTATAAAATGTTCGGTTACATCCGAACTTAGCACTTCCTTACTTGTTATTTTTAAATATAGAACTACAATGACACATCAAAAGATTATTATAGAATTTAAGTTCTTGTAATCAAAACCAATAATAAAACTCAAATATAAACCAAAAAATCAAGAGCAACACATATATGTACGAGTATGTAGTCTTTGTAATATATATGCAGAATGAACCACACAACAACATACCCATGTACATAGGCATTTACATTTGTACAATTATCCGATATGTATTGCATTAATATGAAAATACAATTGCTCCACAATGCAGTCGTTTTGCCGGCAAAGTTAACAATAAAATACAACCAAAAAGGTACATAATACCAACCCATTAGTCACTGAAATCACAAGTACTACAACAGGCGAATAGACAAACCAGCAAACTACGTGGTAACCAAACAGTCGGTCGGCCCACAAAGTAGTGGAACGGCTGATGTCTGTGAAAACAGTGAAAGCGCCTAAAAAGTGTGGCATACAAAGCGCACGGCAATTGTTGCTGCTGTTGCCGCGGCCCCCGCACCATGCCCGACTGACTGTGTTGACTGCCAATGCGGCTGCCGTGGCAGCGTTTACTTTTCCACCGCTTCACATTTTCAAGCATGGAAAGGCAATAAGTAAACAGGTAAATACACCCAAATACCCTAGCATATTAACACGTACTGGTACACTAAAAACCACAACAAATTTTCACATATATATTTACATATGTGTTTATATTGCTTTGTCTGTATGTATGTATTATATATATAGGTTGATTTACTAGGTGCGCTTGCCACAAGTTATTTAAATATGTTGAATAAATACACAAATACAAGCATGGAAGAACTGCTATATGACAGCCCTGAGAACTGCGCTCAAGCACTACTCTGTACTAAAGGTAAATTTCAAATAAGCTTGTCAAGCAAACATTCGCACTGTAAGACATACGATACAAGCAATACATACAGACATGGAGTTATTGCGTAGCTCGTGAACGCGAGTCCAGTGCCGTAAAGATGGAAAGCGGGCCGCGCAAGTGAAACGTCCAAAAGCGTCTAGTTAAGAAAATGGTATGAAAACAAATAAAAGTTAAGAAATGTGGCCTACAGCGTTTATATATAAATGTACGTGGGCAGGTTGATGTAACAAAGACTTAAAAAATGTATATATGTTATATATAGTTATGGAAACGACTGCTTTCTCTAAAACGTGGTTTGAAACAGAGGTTTGATAACAGTATTTACGGCAGAAAAGTAATGGATTACAAGTGATGCAATATAGGTAAGCATATTCATATCAGACATCTAATTTAGAATACGTCAATCCACCAAACGGCGCGACAGCCCGTAAACAACTGTCCTGATGCAAGCAACTGGTATATACTGGTGTTAAGATTAAAAAAAGAGAGCTCACGAAGGGTAAAAATATATCTGGGCGTGGAACCACTCGTGTAAATGACATGAAATATCGTACTTTTCCATGTTATAGTAACAATATATTTGTATCGGTACTGACACTGGAGCTTTCTCTTTTTTAAGTCATCCTACAAAATAGAAACTACGATCAAACCTAAGACCTACATTTTCTGAGGCGCTGACTATAATGATACAAATTAGAGATGATAATATCTGTAAAATATGGTTAAATCTTATTAGTGTGGAATATTTATAACTCTGAAACTGATTGATGACCATAACTCCTCTCTTGAAACCGCACGAAACACATCTCTTTAAACAACTATATACATATGTATATTGAGCTATTCTACAAATTTTGAACGATACTTATTATTCTTTTTTATGAGAAAAAATTACGATCTTGAAGACAATTTTAGTAAAAAGCGAAACTAGCGGACTGCAAATAACGTCAAATCTCGAAGAATCTCTCATATTCTGAAATAACATAGGTTTTTTAAGATCTTAAGAGATTAGAATATCTTCACAAAACATAGTTGAGAGCATTGCAAATTAAAAATCACCAAGAATTACTTACATATCTCACGTTTCTCGTAAATATCATTATATATAAATACCCATAGTAATAGTAATAATAATAATAATAATTTGACTTTTTCCATTCACATTTTGCTTTAACTTGTGAATTTTCCTGAACCTTTATTATTTTTTAAATGTATTTATACTTGAGTGTTTTGCTTTATGGCTTGTTGAAAAGCCGGTGTTGCCTTTGTTGTTGTGCTCTGCTGGCCGCACAACTTCCCTCAACTACCTTACCGCAAAGCTAAATATAACTGCAAGCTGTTTTCAAGCGAACGTTTGAAACAATGAAAACGCACTCGACCGTGATTCCCTCATTGAGTATGATGAGCGCTACTACGCTGAGCCAGCTTTTCGTCTGACTGCGCTGCGACGGTTTGCCGATGTGGGCTGATGGTTGCTGCTTCGCTAACAACGCAAGGGGCGCCGCTACCAACATTTGTGTGGTGCGGTTTGAGTGCAACTTATGGGAGCGAGCACAGTACATCTTTTTCTAGGCTGGTCTTACAATTCAGTTTGTGTTCGACTTTACATTGTTCAGCAGCAGTGGAGCAGTAGAGCAACTAGCAGTGGCACAAGCGTTACAACTTTAAAACTCGTAATTGTAACGATTTCAAACAGCTGATTGCTGGTAGTGCAAGTGCATTGGCGTGTTGTTAGACAGGTCGTGGTGAGGCAATGTCTCCTAATAGCAACTTCCTCATAGTGCATATATATACATACATATATATCGAAATATAACCGTTAAGGAGCCTTCGGGTATGGATACGCAAACGCTTACGAACAGCTCCAATGCGTTGGCTAACGGTGTTCAGTTGGTGAAGGAGCGTAATCGAAGTAGCAATAAAGTGAAACTTTGTGGTTATTTGAAGAAGAAGCGAAATGTTAGTATGAATACGAAGTGAAGACGATAATTGCGGACGCGTGAGTAAGAATTAAAAAAGAGATATTTTCGAAACAAGAATAAATGAGTTCTACAACCGGTAGAATAGAAAATTTTTCTGTAATTCAAAGATGCGAAATATGTATTATTGGCAAAGTTCAAATTGCTTGTAAATATTAAAAAACTAATAGCAAAATGAAATAAATACAATACTTCGCAAACTTTACACACGCGCCCATATTTGGTCGATTAAACAATTTCAAAAAATAAAAAAACCTGCTTAGTTGGAAAATTCAAAGCAAAACACAAAATGGAAAGAAGATAAACCATTTTTTCACTATTCCCATTATACATATGTGTAACAATATAATTGCTTTTATTGTTTTGTTTATGACCGTTATTAGAAAGTTGGCGGTTGGCGTAAAATGTGGTTTGTGCTGCAGGATAAATTGCTACTTTCCTATGCATCGAAGGAGGAGTATGACAATAAATTGGTCTCATTCAAAGACGTTCTCAATCTAGTGCCGGGCACAATGGTACGTCCTTTGGGTGGCTTTCGCTTCACAATTGAGACCGCAACGCATGTAATGTATACGTTTGTGAGTATTTTTATAAAATTTGTTATAAAAAAATATAATAACAACAGCAATTGTAACGAGTATACAATGAGTAATGCGTAAGTGTATTTATATGTAAATTTATTAGTCACTTTTTATAGTACTGATAGTGTTATAAGCAAAAAGTGTGCAATTTCTGTAGATATGTATATGAATAATTAAGAGAATATTGACAGTCTGCTCAGGAAGTGTTCGTAAAATCCTCATGAAAACATAGTGTAAATCTAGGTAGTGCCAACGCACCCTAGTATTTTGAATATCTGATCGATCCACATTTCACATTACTACATTCTATTTCACATTCTTATACTTGAATTTCACTCTCATAATATTCTTATTGAAATTTAGCAGTCCAATTTTTGACTGATTTGGCAAATAAAACTATTTCAAACAGACCTCTGGAAGCATCTTATTTTTTAATCTGTTTGCGCTCGGCTAAATCAGCATGACCTAAGTTGTCAAACAATTATTAATATTGCATTAGATGAGAGATGCGAGAAATATACATAGATATTTCAGTCAATCTCTTTGAGAATATTTTCCCGCAAAAATATACGTACAACATATGATAATTAAGAAAGTGGGTAGAAATGCTTAAGCGATGTCGCAGACACAAAACATCCCAGAGATCGAAGTTCACTCGAATCGAGACCATTAAGGCAAGGTTACGAAAAAGTGGTTGCATCGAAAAATCTAAATTTTCTAATGTTATACCTTTATACCTATTTATGAATACGAACCTTGAATAAAAATATGGTAACCATATATTGAAAAGAAATAATTATATTAAAACGCAGGCATACGAGTCTTAAGTCAGGTATATATAATTTAGTTATTTTCCTCTATTAACTTATTACAACGTGAACTTTGTATTATATGTATTATTCATAAATAAGCATATGGAATAATAATACAATTTAATTTGCCAAGATTATGCACTCTAATACTGGCTATCATCGGCTGAGATTCTAAGCCCAGAAAAAAGATTTTACTAGTAAATCTGTCTCCTCATCGATCAAAACCTAAACTTGTCTTCTGTAATTTAGGGAGAGAACACATTAGCGGTTTTAATTTGATTTAAAAATCATATTTTACAAACTCAAATGTTTATTTTCTAATGGAGTTTGAATATAATTTCGATTTGCTTTCGCATCCATGTATTGTATTTTCCGCACCTAGGCGACAGTGTATTTTTAATTACTGAAGAAAATGGTCGCTGGAAAAAAATCGTCGAGACAGAAATCTATTTTGAAGCCATATACAGAGTTTGATACAAAAATTATATTGAAAATTTGAGGGATCGCTATATGTTAATTGGGTTATTGTCCTCAATTACAGCGATGTTAAATAATAAAATCGAATTTTGCCGGAAAAAATAGCTTTTGGTCTTTAAAACGATACGAATTTTTCAAGGCGCCTGTTATACTTATTCAACAGGTATTAAGCCACTTTTAGTAAATATAAAACTATTAAGATGTAGAATACTAAAGTCATTTCGATTTACACATTTGTTGATTGCACTTTTTCCTAAACGCGTTTTTCTTCATCAGCACTGCGATGATCGAAACGCCTACCGTGAATGGATTACCATGTTATTGGATAGTTTGACCACCACAACCAGCTCGAAAATTATTTCCGCCAACTCCTCCACCTCGGCGTATGCGATGCTACCAATCCAGCAGCAACGTTTCCGCAATACATCTGTCGACAATATTCCGTATGCGCTGTGGTCGGCTGCAGGGCAGAATTCACAGCGTCAGCGAGAGCTTTCATCCAGCTGTGACTCGATGCGCCAGCGTGTGGAGTTGGCAGATGCCCAGTGTGAATATGCGTATTTGGAGCGCACGGCAATTGTAAAAACAAGAAATGGTTTAAAATCAACGACGCGGCCGCTTTTAGCGCCAGCGTTGTCAGTGCCCAGCAATGGTAGCGGTGGTGGCGGGGGTGGTAGTAGTGCAGGGGTACGTTTGCCAATTTTGCGCAGCACAGCGAAGTTACTGGAGCGTAACGGCGTGAATTCAAGCGATTCGCTGAAAAAATATCAAAAGCAACAACAACACTACCAAAAACGGCAGCAACAGCAGCAGCAACAAGTGAACTGTTGCAACAGGAGTAGTGGCACAACAGCTAGCGCAACAAGTTGTAAAAGCTACAACAATAATACTAACGATAACGTCACAGATGCGCGTTTAACTACTGAAGCGAGGTAAGTAGTGTGCATGCATATGGATGTATTGTGGTATGCGCATGCGTACATTTGTTTGCTTGCGGATTTGAATGGTGCAATCGGCGAACAATAAAAGAAACGATGCGCATATGCAATTGGAAATAAACAAAAAACACAAAAATATCGTTTGTGCCACTTAACATAACATTATGTAACGGCATTTCAGTGCGACCCACTTCCGTTTGCATTGTGAAAGTAACTGCAGCGATTTTACCACGCTCGACAATGGCCGCAATTCCTCAAGTGCTGGCAGCACATCTTCCTCAGCTTCCGCATCCGCTTGCCATGGACCGATTAACCAAACAGTCTTGAAAATAAATAGCATGTTCCAGCGACAATCGGAAAGCGCCAATGCAAGTCGCCATTATGAGGTGAATAAAGAATTTTCAAACTATCCAAAGTCAACACAAGCAAACTGTGATCAAAACGAATTTACGCCAAAGTATAGCAGCGATAAGTGGTTGTTGGCAGATAGCTGTTCAATGAGTGATGATGCTGAAGTTGATGTGGACACTAATTGTGCAGCGTATTCCAGCAGCGCCAAAGACAGGTAAGCAATCAAATAGAAATTGTATGAACACCCACTAGGAAAAACATTGCAATAAAACTTATTACACCCAAATAATTGATAATCGAACAAACAGCTGATTGCAGATGCAGTCAGTATAAAATCGCAAATAATGATCAATATTAGATAGACAAATTTGAATGAAGTTATCAGTTACTCTTTTGATATATGGTACTGAATTCACAATTAGGACTATAAAGTATAATCTTATAATACGAAAATACTTAACACTCCACCCTGAACCCATAATTAAGTAATATTTTTTTCGCTTGTATCCTGCAACGAAACTTTTTATCAAATCTTTGAGGGCTGCAATATCGTTGAACTCAGCTGTGGCTAAAACGACAAGTTATAACTAATAGTTTACAATAAACATAGTCAGTAGTGGGTAAGTGAATTAGGTTACAGACAAAACGAATTTTGAGAAAAATTTAGGGTGGGAAAATTCCTAAGTGTGCGGTTCATACACCATAAATGCAGTCATATGACAAGCTCAATAACTATGTTGAATAATAATGAGAAATTCTGTTTTCAACACTTGAATCTTTGAAATATGCTGAACTGAGGTATCTATTTACTTTAAAGTATAAATAAAACTAATTTATTATCAAAACATAATATTTTTTCTCATAGGAAGTTCCACTTTTTCCATTTTTTTCAAAATACCAGAACATGCGCCAGTCACGATCCAATTGTCCAACACGTTTATATAATATAAGTGTTTTCTGAGAGTTCGGTCTAACTTCAAAATATGTACTCGTGCATGTATTCAATTCTGCGGCTGTCCCGCATAGAAACAATATGAATTTTTAGTTTGTCTGGTATTTACTATGAAGTTTAAATTCCTTCATATTCAAAAGAATTTTATATTGACTGAATTCATGAACTTTGTCAAATCAACTAGTATAAAAAGGCATTCTGGCATTAAAAGTTTATACTCAACTATTTTAACGAGTTCTGAGAATATTACATTTCGCAAAGCCTTTCAACAACGGTTGTCATTGTAAGACTTACTGCATGAAAACAAAATTCTTCTGAAGTAAATTGCTGGAATTTTAGTCATAAACTCAATATATACAAAAATTATTAGAACCTACATGAAGCCTTTGAACAAAAAGAGGCCAAAAACACAAAATCGGTCCAAGGATCCAGGATTTTTGAAGATTCATATGAAACTAACTCGCCCACCTATAAAATAATGAGAAACTGTTATCACATTATTGCATTGTCATCGATCCTTGACACGTCTGGAAAGTTTTAAGTTGATCAAACTTCTGGAAACTGGTGAAAATTGAGCTCTAAGATTCCATTACATACATACAACACAAGCTAATAAAAGCGTATTAAAAATACATATTTTTGACATAAAATAATGATTTTTTCAAACATTTGACAAGTTTATACTATTTCTATGATAAATTGAGGATTTTCGATCATATATCGAAAACCAGATGTGATTGTGGGGGTTTGGGACACAGAAACCAATTTTATATTGCAATTCGACTATTGATTTTTAACAAAAAATAAATGTGAGATTCAAGAATTCTCGAGATAACAGATTTTGGCTTTATATGGTCTGATACAAAATTAGCTGGGCTTTGTAGCTTTGCCTTTTTTATCAAATAATTAATATTTATTGGTAACTCTTTTTAAACAAATACACCGCTTGGTTCATACATTACCATTTCCAAAAAACTCTTCACAGCTTTAGCTTAGTGTATTGTTAATCTGTGTAATTCATACAAAAATTGCTGTCAATATTTTTGCTTAGACTGGTAAGAGTGTGAGTACGAGTAGGAACATGTGAAACAGTTGCATTATTATACCATTTTTATGACTTGAACGACCACACATTCGTAGCTGGTAAACAAAACTGTCAAATGGGGTATTTTTCAATACTAATGTACCGACCAGATAAGAGTTTCGCTATAAATAGCAACTTGCGAGTCACTTCCTAAAACACACGTAGGTACATATGGTACATACATACTACCAGACACTCGAAACGTATGCAAAAAACGGAGCTTCAAAGCGCCCGCATGTTGGCGTGGTTAGTATAGAACTTCTGAAGTGGAGCTACTCTTGTGCATACATGTACAAGTATTTATTTGGAGCATTTTTATAAATCTAAAATTCCAAAAAAAAAAGAGTTGAATATGTATGTATGTATATATAATATTTATAGTACAACAACCAATATTGAGCATATTTTTGAATTCGAATATATTACCAGAGTCATAAAAACGTTCAAGGAAATTTAATCAAAGCTGTGCTTATTTTTCCACTCGCTTTTAAAAAACACTTTATTATGCTTTAATTGTTGTTCAAAATGTAACCTCAACTTTCAACGTTATATGTAGGAACCAACCATACTAATAGACATACTTTATTTTCATATCAAAAGCTTGTTTTCGATTCAGATGACAGATAGGATTTTAATGTTTGCATAATATATATATATATATTTATTGTACTTTCTGAATATAACGAATTCATTTCGGTCATACAAGTGCAATACATTAGAAAGTACAGCATAAAATATATATGTCTAAGCAGTGATCACGGATTCTAGCACAGGAAACCCAAAATATAAACGTATGTATGTCTGGGTTTTTTCATATGAGGTTTATTCCTCTCTTCCCACATTATTATGGAATATTGACTTAAAAGGTCATCAGACCTTCCATTACA